GTGAACCGACTTACTTTCACGAGGACCAATTAAGGGGATTCGAACGACCGATTTCATCTCGGTGTAAAATAATTAATTAGCGGATGAGTTAGAGATGAGAATAGCGTGTATATATAAATGAAACACAATATTCGAAAAATAGGGATGTAAAGAAGTATCGTGGAATTTAGCGAATTTCATCGCGTGTTCTTTCCTCTTCATTATCGATTTAACGATCTCACCGATAAACACGTGTCCAGATTTGACTTTTAAATTCGAATTTCAGACACTGTAATTTATCCTTCGTTTCTTACTTCCGACATGTACATCTCCTCCTTTAGTTTCAGCATTCCATCAAGCGTTTACACTTACGTAGGTTACACTCCGTTCGATGATTAACCCTTTCGCGACTGAATGTTTTTTTTTTCTTTTATCTGTCGATCGTCGCGTCTGAAATTGATACTAAATTGATGTCTATTTTTGTTCGAGCATTTAAACGACACATGCGTTCTATTGGTAGCGAAAGGGTTAATACATGTGCGAATAGAAAAATATCCAGGAGTGTTACGATGGAACATTTATCTCTGATTATTATTGCAAGAAGGTTACGAAGAAAATCGGACTGGGAGGATAAAATATGCCATTCTTCGGCATCGACATTTTTTCCTTTCCCCACTTTGCTTTCGTTTCTCAATCTGTACGCATGATTTCCCGTACACCAATCATATCGATATCCGCTCCTTTTTGTATCTCTTGTCCCGCCGAACCGCGTCAAAGAAGTGGCGGATCGCAATTGCGCGATGCAACAAATACACAAACAGGTTCGGCGAAGCTGGAATTAAAGCAACAGGAAAGTAACCTTCCGTCTTGTTCTAGATTTCAAAAAATGATTCATTGTATCACCGTTACGTGTAGCGATACCTTTTTCTCCAAATTTGATCGGCACTTATTTTCAATGGTGTAAATATTAAAAATGATTAATCGACTATGAAATGAAACGACTTGATTTTCCACACGCAATCAATTATATTCATTCCCATTAACCCAAGAGAGATCTGGACGTATCTGACACCATTTTTCTTAGTCAGTTTTGACGAACCGGTTCTCGTTTGCGGTATCTCGTCGGTTTGGTAAATGATTTCAATGCCATTGCAAAGTAGTGAAAAAAAGAAGGAACGTTGGGGTATGCACAGCATTGCACACGATCCTTTTTCCGTCCTTGGCCGTAAACTAGAATGCCGTATGTAGCACAAGGTATATACATCGTAGATGGTCAATTCCGATTGTCTGATAAGGATCTCCGATCCATTGTACTTTTCTACTTTTTGTTAACTTTGTTGGTATTTGGTATTGTTCTCCTTGCCGTTTCTTTCGTTTTTTCTTCTCAAGGAAGAAAATTGAATCCTTAGAAGATAGAAATTCCATTTTCTATCGTTCGTTCGAATTGTACGGAAAGAATGAAGAAGGAAATCAATTGGAGAAATCGGGTAGAGTAGAATTGAGAAATCCTGTTAATTGGAAATGATTTGTTGATGAAGATAGCGGTAACTTCCTTGAAGTATTATGCAACAGCTTGTATAATCGAGAATTTCAATTATCAAGCTCGAAGAAATGCTGAGCAAGTAGATCTAACCCTAGTAACAGTTTTCATTGGAAAAACGTACCATTCAACAACGTTGCAGATTATTTAATCAAAGGTCTAAGGGTGAACTGTTATCGACGTGTGTGTGTGTTGTAACGTTGATAATGTGTCGGTGCATTTCACCAAATACACGACCCCGTTCGAAAGTTTGAGATAACGATCTAATTGAGCTCTAATTGAGCGTTAGAATCGGCGACCTTAAATATCTGATAACCCGATCAATTCGACGGTTTCAGAATATTTCATATTCGGAATGATTGCGGATAGAATGTCAATACACTATCGAAAATTAACAAGATTGTTTGGTCATGCTAGTTGCATTAAATAACAGTTACACCGTCTGATTTCGAATGTATGAGTCATCTGAAGTACTGTCGTAAAAATGTATATATATATGTATATGTTAATAGATTCTTGCAGTGTTTCGAGCCATAGATCGCAGATGTGGCTATTACGAATGACAGGTTAACGTTTTGAATTCGAAATGTGTATCCATTCGGTGTTCTTGTCTATTCGATCGGCTAAACATATATTTCTTCGTTGTTCAATGCACTCGGGACAATTTGTCACTTGCAACAGGAACAGCCAGTGTTTTCGAATTTTCTTGAAATTTCGTTTGAAACGTTGAGCCATCGCGACTTTATTGAAATTTATTGTGAAAAATTTGAATTTCCTTCTTTTGTTTGTTATCTTCGTTTATTTGCTGTCTGTTACAAAATGACGATAAACGAACGATTTAACTATGATAGCGTGAATAATAGTGAATTTTAGAAATTTTGCCTATCGGCTCGTATCTTCTTTAATTAATAGTATCTATCGATTCATTACTTCACCTGCTCTAATTTTTTTTTTTCTCTGCTACGAAATTTAGTGGTTCAGATATTCCCAATTTATTTTTTCACGGAATTAATGTAACTTGATTATTTCACGAACGGCAATTAAATTCGCGAATTGCGGTTATTTCACTTGCCCTGACTTTCTCTCTGCTACGAAATTTAGCGTTTCAGATATTAGCGATTTCTTTTGATTATTTTATGAATGGTATTCAGTTTGTTCATTTTCTGTATAATAATCTACGAGGGACTGACTCGGTCGTACGACTCATTGACAATTTTATAATGCACGAAGCGATTCTGCGTCGGAGCGATTTCGTCTGCGCAAAAAAGAGGCATTGTACTCGTAGCGTGCATTTATTTAAGAGTCTCGTAACGAGCGTACGATCAATTAGCATTGTTAAAACACGAGTTTACGGCATTGAACGAAGAAGGAAGCTTTTCATATTCGAGGATTTTATGACGTACCATACGATTCTCCGACGCGTGTGTCCAGGAAGGATAATCGTTATTAGCATAAAGTACGCGTGTCGTTTTTTTATTGCTTCATTGCGATCTTCATATGGAGACGAGCACTCTCTTTTCTTTTTTTTCTTTCTTTGTTCTCGCTAGGAAGGTATTCTAATTGCTTTGTCCATCGTATGGAACGATTATCGTAGACAAATTGAAGAAGAAAAAAACGAGACGAGTCATCGGGGAGAATTGCAGATTTTAAACATGCAAGATCCAAATCAACGATAATGGAAACGCGTCGAATTGAGATAGATGCATGTGTTACGGGATCGATTAACAATTCAACGCGACTTGTTATGGAAACTTTGTTTCTTTCCTTGAATTTTTATTTCAACCGTCGAACCGTCGAAAAATTTCGCGAAGCTGGTTTAATGCGTTCTTCGTTTTCACGTTACAGAAATATTTCGTAACTTTAATAACAGGTGGTACGTTGTAACGTCGTTATTTTCTTATTTTTATTCGTTTTCTTTCCCATTTAACTGCGGTATTTTCCTTTCGATTTTTTCAACGAATGTTAACTGTTTAAACGAGGTAAAGATAAACGAAACAGGTTATCATTTTTTTATAAGCTCTTGTAGCGCATCCAACGTTCAGGACTTCACTGGCAACACACAGAAACCTCGAGTGACATTTGACAGAAAAATACTTCGAAAAGTGATACCGACGTCGAAAGTTAATTTATCGATAAGCTGTTTGATTAAATCATCCACAGTCATAAACGATTCCTCATTTTTTATGATCGTCTATAAATCGGCGATGTGATTAGACGATTCTTAAAAAATTCGTACGAGGTCGTCAAACTTGCTAACATTCTTCGTTCAATTTCTACGACCTAAGAATAGATATTTAGTTTCATGCTAGTGTCAATTGTAATTTTGAAAATCTATCAATTTCTCAGATTATTTTCTACATTTTTCCTGAAATTTTACCGAGATTCATTCATTTTTCCAGTTGTGCTCGGAGTCTCTATTTTTCACATTTATTTCAATCTCTACTTTTTCTTCATTTTTTCAATTGTACTCGGAGTCTTCTAAGGCGGAACGTCTCGACGTGAAAATTAGAATAGAGAAAAGACGACGCGAATTTGAACGAGGCGCAAACACAGGATGAATGAAGTGAAATAGAGACACGTGTAGTCAGCCACAGGTGCCATCTCATGAATCTCACGTGTAACCCTATCGAGATGCGGTAATTCGATAATTTCTCGTGGTAACTGGAGCATTGATAGAGGATTGTCGAACCGATTTGCAGATACGCATTAGGAAGCAATTGACGATCATCCTGTTGCAGATTCGACCACGAAGACGTTTCACGCGTGGACGAGAGAATTTAGTTCTCGAATTCTATCCGCAAACCGATTTCCGTAGAAAATCGTAATCTTGCACAATATATCGCAAGTGTGTTAATTCATCGATATTCATTTGAAATATTTCCCAGCAAAATTTGCATATCCTCCGCGTCACTTTTTTCACGAGAATTCAGGGAATAACCGAATTGTACACGCGAGATCGATCGTCCTCGAATCAGATCTTCGACTCGATTGTTAAACCAGTTCTCTTTTGGAAATGAATGCGCATAAAACGTCTTCATTTATGGAATTAAATTGTTAACGACTTTGTTACGCGTCGCTACGATGATATAACGTTAACTGGTTCTTACAATCGCGTATTTAGCGTTCTAAAATGAAAATTGACGCAAAAATGTGACACAACTGTACGGATAAAAGTGTCTGCAAAAGATCATCGCGTTGAAACGAGACAAAGAACGAAACGCTGTCGAATTTTTTACGTTGAAACGAAGGATACTTTGAATTAAGTGTGAACATTTCATTTTTAAATGAAACGATCTTCGGTTGAGCGTGCAAAAATTAAATAGCACGTGTAGCCAATTAATTTCGTATCAAAGTGTCACTATACCGTAGGAATAAAAGTATCTACAAAGGATAGTCACATGGAAAGGAGACAAAGAGCGAGACCACTATCGAATTCACCGCACGTTTCTCGAATTCTATTATCTGGTAGGAAATTACTTACTTCTCTGCCACTTGGGCCTGTCATTCTGGTGTACCGGTAGAGTGGCATTAAACAATCGATTCACGACGATCGAAGACTTTCTCCTCAGGTTGTTCGTCTGTCGGCTTATCGACATCTCATCCGTCTCGCTCGAGTCGCTTTGATTCCGATTCACGCTGACGCCCGAGTATCGTCGACAGGTAAATCGGTTCCATATCATCATGAAGTCCTTCATAATTGCCTGGAATTCTGCCCGTTAAAGCGTCTCGCCCAAACCAAGTAACGATCCAGAACGAAACTCACAATGGATCTCGTACCACCCGAGAAAAATTCACTTCTAATACACGTTGCAGAAAAATAAATCGCAATCGTTCTTTCAGTCTTTGTACAAAGAACTCGCGGTACAACTGTTGTTTACGGAAGAATTCTCGAATGAATCAGTCCCTCGACATCCATGAACGTGTAGTAGTTTCTCTAATTCTCATCAAACGACTATTCTTTTTCTCTGATAGGTGAAACACGGTAAGGCACGTGGTGGACGGCTTCTTTCAGAACTTGAAACAACAACGCCGCGATGAATGTTTCTTCACAGAGTAACGACACCGACTTTCCGTGGATTTCTCGTTGACACGCTACATAAAATGGCCAAGGGAAAATCGTGCACTGGATCGTTGCACGTTTCGGTCCACCAAGTAGCACTTTTTTCTCTGTCCCGGTGTCGGTGGTGTGAGTCGCGTGCGCTTCTGTGCAAAAGTGATGAAAGCATGGATCGGCAGAGTTCAAAAAGTATATTAGACTTATTGCCATCCCCACTTGACTCTGCCGCTCTGACGATCGTCACTCGGCAGCACGTGGACCGCTGGCCAATCGGCAACTGTTACCTGTGCCCCACCACAGGTGGGAAAGATTACTGTTCTCCGCAGGTGGAGGATTCGCGAGGATCAGTCGAGGGACAGTTGCAGCGCGTCCTGCGATTGCAGCGATCAAAGGTCAATGGAATTGTTGTCACGATTGGTCATTTCCGTCGGGGGATGCCCGGACGTTTTTTTTTCTCTCTCTTCGATGGAAGATCCAGCTGGAAAACCGATCTGTATCTACGTCTCGTGACTTTGCTTCGACAAACAGGTTGTTTGCATTCGAACGTCATATGCTTTCTTGTTGCTTCTGAAAAAATATTGCAAATTTTCCTCCTTCCAGCGTGTTCGAGCTTTTATCGGCCGTGATGTGAAATTTTGTATGAACAGTGGAGGAGGTAGAGATTGCAAGGCTTTATTAAAAAGTCTTTAGCAGCTCGAGACTGAAAAAGCTGATTTATCGCTTGTTGCGAAAATGATCGAATAAAATGTTCAAGGGCTACCACCTGTTGGGAATCGTCAGTTTCTGAGAATCATGTGAAAAAGAAATTGCTCGAGATGTGTACCGTGTCTTTTTGAATTATGTCAGGTGCAATTGATCGAAATTCAGTTGGACTTCTTCGTTGAAATTTCGTTTCCTTCACTTCCGATGGAATTTTCTATGGTTGCTTCTGTTAATGTTGTACGATTCGCTGATTAATTCGTTTCTAAAGATAGAGAGGAGTGGTGATTTTCTCGAATCGTGTGACTAAGGTGTCCACTCACGTGTTCTGGTTTAGTGTCGCGCTAGGTGTTCCTGCCGATCTCTCACTTATGTTGACAGAAGTGTTTATGTATGTGCGTCAGCAACCTGCAGATGCAGAATACGATTCGAGTCAAATTCGCTACCTTTTTTCCTCTGTAATTTCATTGCAAGTATTCATCGAGACGTGAGAGAAGAACACCAGTCTGTTTCACGTGGAATTTTGTTTTTCGTTCTGATTTCTTGGTATTGTTTTCTCGATTGTTTAGAATAACCCGATTGGTTGACAAACATGGTTTTCTAGAAATTCTGTTTTATAATTTCTCGACGGAATAATTTTCTGCGTCGTCACGTTTGATCTGCGATTGAGATAATTAATTAATAGGGTAAAATTATGAATCCTTGATGACTTCATATCGAACGAATGTATAATAGCTGTGATACGTTCGAACGATTGCGATTACGATCTCGCCGCGGATCGCAAGAATTTCCAGAATTTCGACAGCTTCGTTTGTGCGTCATTGTTTTTCGATTTTTTTTTCGGACTGATTTGTAAGTACAGCGTTCCCAACGAAATTTCGCTACGTAGCACGTACGAATGCTAGAACAAGGAAGCCTTGCTTTTGCGGAAATAAAACGCTCCCATAACCAGTTATGCAGGCGCTTAGTGCTTTGTATTCTTGTATCATGCTACCTGAAGAATTCGTGAATTGTAACTTCTATTGCCATTTAATTTGCTGAAAAAATTCTTGCAGGATTTAGATTCCCACGTATGTATCCATTATTAAAATCTCGAAAATTAAGATTTCGCACTCGTATTGCCAGATCTCATTAAATTTCCATCGTCTTGAGAGTACAAAAATTTCACAAACGACACGTGTAACTCGATTATGAAGAGATGATTCGTATCAGTCACGGTCTTGGTACCATGAACCTGTTCAGCAAAAGTTCAATTCAGAAGGGAATTTTTATTACGTCGCCTCTTAAAGCACGATCGAGTGGTATATACGCAATTTAGCCGCGATGCATTTTATGGCGGAAAGAGTAGCTTTTTAAGTATAATTACGCGAACCAGTTCTCAGTCAAGGACCTCTTCTACAGCGCGAACTTGAAGGCTGATCTATTCGATAAAGTTCTCGAGTGTTTTAACGCGTTTAAGAGTGCAAATTGCGAAAATCTGTCGTATCTCCGATTCAAGAGTTAACTTTCCTCTCTAATTTCTTCTCGCTCGTCTCTTTCACTGACGCGATTGCAGATCGCCCGAAGATACATATCTGTCGAAGTGGATTACTTACATCATCGGTCGTGTAAATAGCGTGATCGTGAATTAAAGTTCCGTCGTTCGTACAATTGCTCCGGAGTAATTAATTCGGGTTGGTAAAAAGTGCTTAACAAATCTTCGCAAGAAGTTTCGATATTTTTGTCGCCAAGTTGTACCCTTTTTACGTGTATTCCGAATGATAAAATATGCGAAGTGATATCAAGAAGTGGAAGAAGAAATATTTCAGATATTTTACACCGTCATCCTCGTTAATTTTGACGAACCACGGTCTGGCGTTCACCTATTTCGTGTATTTTGCATGGATATACGGGGTGTTTCGTGTAAATCGGTATTTGCGAACATTTTTTAAGCTGGACGATGCTGAAAGTGTTTCAGATAGAAATTCACAAGGTCACAAAGGTCTCTTTGTACCAAAATTTTGCATTAAAAAATGATCAATGCGTTGAAAAATATGACTTCATCTTTCCAAAAATTACTCGAAACATCTTTCATATTATCAAAGTTTCGAAGATATTCGCGAGGATCGATTCGAATGCAGGACACTCTGTACAGTGTCATCCTCTGACGAACGAATAAGCGCGTGAATTCGAACTGGTTTTTTCTCCTGGCTTTGTCGTCCAGTAAAATTCATAAAGGCGGATACAACAGAGAGATCGACCAAATGTCTTTTGTTTCTTTGAACTCTAGATCCTTCCGACAGAACTTCCAACGCGTCACTGGTTTTTTGCTCAAACTACGTAAATGAGACGTTCTTCCTTCGTTAATTGCCTAGGTACGCGTAGTACAATAACGAACTCATTTTTTTCTCCTATTTTCTTAAGGTCAACTGTATTTCACTCGATCAAATTTGTCTTCCAACAATTCAACTAACCGGACATCTTTTTGCCCCAAAGGTTTTACATCGCAATTTTTCAATCCGATTTTCTTCGAATCGTGTCTCAACCTTGCCGGTAACATGTGAAAGTATTAATATTGCACGAAGGAAGGTTTGATTAAAACGTGAAGTTCGTAAACGACGAAAAAATTGCAAACGTTGATCGTGCATTTTACGCTTCGGAAATATGAACAATGATGTATTAAAAGTTTATGCAAACTGTGTAAGTGTATCGTTAGTGCACCGTCGATACTTATATGCCTTTCTGCTTTTTCTTTCATCGGAACGATTAAATACTCGTTAGAGTACCTATATTAATACGTATTGCAAAGTTATTGAGCATTAAGTAAGACAAGCATCGTATCGAATTTGCGCATAAGAATTACCATAGAGGAATGATTAGTGTTCTGGAACCTTGATGAAAATTGCTTCTACGCAGTGCTGCATATTTAACGCGATCGAATAGAATCGTTAGAAAGTTGGCAATAAACGAACCACGATAACGCACCGTATCATTTTACTAACAAATTGCGGTATAGTTATTTAGTCGTGTAACGCAACAATCATCATTCTTACGTGGCTATTTTTACACACGCTGTGCAAGTGCAATGAAATGTGAATTAGTTATTTCAGTGGTTAGCCGACGTTTATGAGTTATCTGGTGTCGTACTGGTGTAATTTATACTCCGCTAATAGAAATCACATAAAACTGTTTGTATTTCTCTTTTCAAACGATTCAATTACCATTACGTCCCGCCTCTAGACAGTTATGATCAGTTGAGTTAAATATGCACATGTTTACGTAGAAGTACTTAGCTTTGAGAAATTACCATTTCTAATTAATTGACGTAGGACAAAAAGTTTGTTTAACAATGCAGATTATTGCAGTATCGTAAAAATGTCTCAAGAGTCGTAGGATCAAGGTTGTGGAAGAGAAAGTGGGAACAGACAGGGACACTAGTGGACTCAACGTGACAATCCTCGATGACGTATGAGGTCCAGGGATGAGTTGATCAGATTTAAGAGGAAATACCTGGAAATAACGTACCAGTACGGTGGGAGAAAAAGAAAGCGAAGCAGGCAGATTTTTCCATACAGGAAATGTCAGTGTTGCAGATTGAGTTGGAGTTTTTCATAAGTCGACAGTGTTTTGGGGATGCACTGTTGGAAATAGAGTATTATATGAGTCGTCAGAGTGTTGATGATGGAGTGTTGGAGACAGAGAGTTGTATAAGTCATCAGAGTGTAGGGGATGCACTGTTGGAAATAGAGTATTATATGAGTCGTCAGAGTGTTGATGATGGAGTATTGGAGACAGAGAGTTGTATAAGTGATCAGAGTGTAGGGGATGCACTGTTGGAAATAGAGTATTATATGAGTCGTCAGAGTGTCGAGGATGGAGTGCTGGAGATAGAATTTTGTATAAGTCGCCAGAGTGTTGGAGATACAGTGTTGTATAAATCGTCAGAGTGTTGAAAATAGAGTATTATATGAGTCGTCGGAGTTGTAAATTATTCTTCACAAATGAACACTTGTAATCAGTATAAAACTTCTCAACTAAAAAAAAAAGCTCTCGATATAAAACAAAAAATTTCCTTAACAATGCAAGTCACAATTTCATATTTTACTCTATATCTCTCAATTTGGCAATAAATCTAGGCATTGTGCAATCGCAACAACAAGAAACATCGTCGGAAACTAACGGACTAGTAAGCACGATCATTTCGAAACGCGTAGGTACAATCCAGCATTTCAACCGTCCATTAACCTCGCATTTATGGTTGGCGGGGTTCGAATTCTATTGACGGTTTACGAAGCCACGATGCTGCGGCCACGGGATTGCAGTTATAACAGAAATGTACCGCGGAGGGTCCTATTCTCTCGTGTATATCCTCCGATATCGGTTCCGCCGTGAACCCTCCTGCTCTCTAGCAAAGTGGTGAAACTGAACTGTAGGAGGGTGATTAAAGACGATTGAAAATACATCCGAGGACAA